CATATTAGCATCACAACCTTCACTATGATAAATCTATCAGATGTAAGTTGCCACAAGTACAAATGTGGTGCATGAGCAGATTCAAACACCAACCAATAACCTACAACATGCCCTCGACATAATGCTGGCAAGGATAAAGTGAAAAAACTTCTTAACTCCGCCTACCTGAGTTTAATATAGCTAACGATATCCGGAAAAGAATATGATGATTTTAATAAACTGACACTAGTGCAAAAACTGTTAATATATGATAATCCTCTAAGCATTGGAAGTGTCTTATTTGTCTTATCAGACATTATTTACTAGTATTAGAAAGGGAAAATTGGTTCAAGTAGAATTGAGTGAACATAACAACTAGGAAGGTGTTTAGATAAGCTTATAAGTTGATCAAATCGGTTTGTGTGATCAAATCGGTTTATCGACACGGTTAGTAGCATCAAAAGTGTGCGTATAAGCTAAGTTGCTCGGACTCTTCACTTTCAGTGCCGCACCCATGTCGACATGACGTCGGTGTGGGTGTGGGATCCCTACCGAATCTGGTCAACCGTTTTTGAGTACTTTGACCAAAATCGACGGAGAAATTCAGGATATATACAATAATTTCTGAAATCAAAACAAAAGTTAGGGTGAAATTGAAGAAAATGGAATACCTTGTATATAGAAATTTCTATGTTAGTCTTTTTCCTTTTATCTACTTGAATTCTCCTCTTGATCAATATTTTTTATTCTTGGAATACCTTGTAAGTTTTTCACACAGTGTCTCATAATTTAGACATATTTTTATAACTCTATTTTTAGATATTTAAATTATTTTAGTTGAATCCCCGCACTCGTATCCGTACTTGGATGTGCATCCCGAAATCTGAAAATTTAGATCATGAAGGATCCGTCATCTATATTTGCACCCATATTGGACACCCGCACCCGAGTCCGAATAATTTAGCTTATAAGTCAAAATTCAGTCAAAAGTCAACTTATGACATTCCAGCCTATAATCCTTTTGGTTAGACTAAGATTTTTACATCCTTAATACTATATTTTATTAACTCCGAAATGCCCTCTTCAAAACAAAACCCCAAACTTTCGCCCCATTCTTTTTGTATGGATTTTTTGTAAATAACATTAAGGATATTATAGTCATTTTAACAGTTTTTCTTCAATATCTATCCACACATATAATTCAGTGAATTGATTGATGGAAATTGAAAACCTTTGCTCATCAAAAGCAAAAATAGTGAACAGAAATTAAAAGAAGTGACCTTATGACAGCAGGAATAGAAGCATCCCCCTGGACTCTGGTAAGCAAATTCTGTTTTGGAGCAGTATTGAGCTCAGGAAGCGGCAAAGGTTGAGGTCCGGCTGATTTGGACCAGTGACAAGGCTGCTGACAGGACCGAGACTCTGAATTCTTGTAGTTATCAGGAGAAACTGGCATAGATTTCGAACGTTCATCCATTACCAAAGGATGAAAATTCGGGTGTTGCAAATCAACCTCATCATCACCAACATGTCTCAATTTCCGCACCCGAGTAAGCCGTCTTCCACCTCCATAAATTTTTCTGGCGTTAGTAGACTCAGAAGGAGAAGTAGAAGTAGAAGAACTGGAAAAGAGTGAAAATGCTTTCCTTGAAAATGGCATTTCAATTCAGTGGATTCAGAATGAGTATAATAGATGTACTTATGAATCGAGCCGAAAACAATCAATATGCTTCTAGTACTAAAGACATGTCAAGAATTGCTTGTGGGGTTGTGGGATTTAGGCCATTGAAACTCCTCAAGAATGGTTGGTTGATGGGATTGTGAGGTGTTAAAGGGTAGGTGGTAGTAGTGTTGTTCAAGAAACTATAGAGTCGTCTCTAGCAGGCACATTTACTAGGAAAATTCATTCTTGTTTTTGTCAAATGTTTGAATTTGTAAGTATACTTGGATGCAATTAGAAGTCAGAAACACGATGTCTTGTTTTGTTTCTTTTTGGTATAAAGTCAATTTGTCAGTAAAAGTATACTATTTGTGTACGTGTATGAACATAGAAAAGAGAAATTATTTCCATTCTACGATGTCAAGGTTGACAAGTACAAATCGCCGTGTGAAAATAGAAAATCTCACACGTACTACTTTATAAAACGACATCATGTCAGTGAAGTCAGCAAAGTCATGAGTCACCCTTGTTGAATAGTCCAACAAACCATATTGTACGGATTGTATATTTTTTAAGAATATTGCTTAAGGGGAGTATTATTTTGTTTATTAAGTATCAGTTAAAAGAAGAACTAGTCGTTGCAGCTAGTTAGTTAGCTTTAGCTGGACGTGGGACGCATGCTCAATACTAGGAGCTACAAATGAAAACGATAAATCGCATCAACCCGATAATTCGAGTCAAATCAAGAAAAAAATCTGATTATGATTTGGTTTGATTTGATTTGGTATTGGAAAAAAAAATCCGACCATATTTGATTTTGTTTCGTTTTAACTAAAAAAGTCAAACCGAAACAAAACAAACCCGACATTTTATGTATAGAAGTTTTAAATATATTTAATACATAAAAATATTTATGGTAGTGTAGTTTATAAATATTTTTTAAGTTTTTTCATAGTTTTATCTTTTAACGTATTATTTCAAGTTTGGGCTTATAATTTTTGGATGCTCCAGTAAGTTTTATAGTTCATAAATGTTAGTAACTCAAATAAATCCTAAACCAAAATCAAATCAATACTAATGCTAATAAAAAATATTCAATTCAATTGTACTATGAATGAAAATAGTGTTGGATATCTATTTTTTAGTTTTTCTATGGTTTAGATAAAATGTACGTACAACTTATTTTTCGTTTAGTGGTTAGTCATGTAAATAATAGTACTTATTAGTCATAATTTTAAATTATGTTTGTTTTCGTTATGGCTTATTAATAATATTTATTTTATGCGATTTTATTATCTTTTTTGTTGAATATTTTAGTATAATGCCGTAACTCATCTCATATTTATATTATTTTATTAAAAAACACTTTATATAGTTCTGTCTTACTAGGATTAAAGAAATATTTGGAGCACAAATTTTACGTTTTGTGCTATGAAGACTTTATGAAATAAAAAATCGAAAAAACCCGGAAACCCGAAAAAGTCGAGAAAAACCGACCCCTACTCTACTGAATACTATATATGGACAAGATCCAAATTTGATGTTTCTAGCACGTTTTTGGGTCGAATAACACTTTGTTGATGTTCAAAGAATTCTCATAGGTAAACAATGAATGAAATCATTGTCCAATTTCGACAACAAGGAGTACTTTATTCAATGACTAAGCTCATAGAACGACAACATCATGTTTTGATACTTCGATGAGAAAGTGACTTTTCAAATAGAATAAATATATAAGGATAATAACTTATGGTAGTACTAGTATACTCGTTTGAATTTTTCCTTGGCTGAATGGAAGGGCCGGTTTCCATCTTCATTCCAATGTGAGAATGTGTGCATCTGTACGTGTGTGCTTGTGTATGACTCTATGAGTATGGATTAGTGTTGTAAAAGAAGTTTCTCAAGGTAATGTTATGGCCACATAAATATTTATAATTTATTTTAGATTAAAAGTTTTTTAAAAAATATTTTTTTCTTAAACTACATGATCAATGAACACCACTACATAAATTAGAACGAAGAAAACATCATTTATGAGAACACTCGCAAAAGAAAAAAGTATCTTGTTTGTATGGTCAATTGTGGTTACTCGTGGATCTACACGCTCAAATTTGAAAGCTTGACCCTTAAGTGTTGGCAACTCTTTGTAATTCAATTCACGAGTTTTTGTTCTTTCAAGACCTTCGAGGGTGCGATTAAATCCTCCAATCTCATTTATTATTACAATTCAATAACAGCATTTTAAAAGACGTGGACGCGAGACAGAATATTTTATTTACTTTGAGGTGAGGTGTAAGCCCTGTGGACCTTTAAATTTTTTAATTTATAAATTTTATAAAATAGCATAATAACATAAAAATATAGGAAGTACATTAAAATTTTAAGAAAATTACAAATGATTAAAAAACTCATAGAAAATAAAAAATTTAACATGTTTTTATCGGTATAAACAATCAATAATGTTAATCATACTATGAAATACAAAAATGTCTTAACTTTCAAATAATAAAAAAATATAATTTCTTAATAAATATTAATATTAAACTAAATATTTTACCTTTCTAAAAGTAAATAATTAATAAACTTCACTAGTATTGTAATTTAGAATATTACTCCTTCATAATAAATACAAAATCTCTTTCAAATAGCAAAATAATAAAAGTTTGATAATTTTGAGAGACATATATAGAACTAAGATATGAAGGCCAATAGCAAGTGAACATAAATTTTGGCTATCTATTTAAGAAAAATGTTCAAATTATTCACATTCACGTTGTTCTCAATTAGTAAATATACAATATTATGACTCGTTATTTGAGTTACTCTTAATCTTCATGTTCCTATAGATGAATAAAACTTTTATCATTCATTTATAAAAGAATTTTGAGGATCATTAGTACTAACAAATAAATTTGACATATGATTAGGGTAATAATTGTTTAACAAGCCCCAAGCATTATGCGTGTTTAGGACGCACAGTCAGATGCTTGAGGTGTAAGCCTTTCAAAATTAAGTCCCACATATGAGGCTTGGGGCATTTTTATAATGCCCTGCCCCGCAGCGAGTCCCGAACGAATCCCAAAAAGTCTTTTAAAACATTGTTCAATACACAAAGTCTAATGTAAGCAAGAAGTAATACCGATTGGTGGGTACATACACTACAAAAAAATGCTAAATTTGTAGAGGTTTTATTGTGGTGGTTATTACAACCTCCACAATCTATATCAAATTGTGGGGGTTTATTTACTCCCATAAATATATTGTATTTACGGTGGTCGGTAACCTCCGCAACCCTTAAAATAATATAGCGCCCACTAACCCCAATGTTTTCCCCGTTTTTTAATCCTTTCCCTCTCTTTTTTTCCCAAAACCCTTTCTCATTTTCAGCTACCCTTCTCTCTCCCCCTCGCTTCATTTTCAGAAACCCTCGCCCCCTCTAATCAAATCCTTAACAGACCTACCAGGCAAGGGATGAAAATGAGCGGCCCACTCTAACACAAAACCTTTAATTTGATGTAAGTTTATTTGATTTCGCTCTTTCATACAAATTCCTCTTCGATTTTGCTTTGATTTTCCTCTTTCATTCTTTGATTTTACTTTTTTGTCTTTCTTTCTTCATGCATATCGCTTTTAGGTTCATTTTATCTGTTAATTTATGTTTTTCCTTTACTGATTTTTTTTCTCTTTCTTTCATCTTGATGTTTTTCGATTCTCAACAGAAAGTAGCAGAAATTTGGTAGAATCGGTGTATTTTGAAGAAGGCTATAACACTCTTTATTAAAATCGAGATGTAAGTCCTCTTTCTCCTTTTGCATTAGTTATTATATGTTCTAAAATTTAGATTTTTTGTGTATTTTGTAGGTTATTTCTGTGATTTGGGTCTTAATTAAAATATTTTCTTTTGCATGTGTATTTTAGAACTCCTGGGGACCTTCAGAGAAGATGTAATTGTCATTGGCTGCTTTTCCTCTTTCTGCTTTGCGTTGTGTTTGAATCAGTCTCAAGGTACATTTTTTGTTTTTCTGTTTAATAATATTGGAGTCACAAAAATATATCTTCTTTTGGATAAGAGTACAAAAACTATAGTACTACTTTCCAACCGGCAGAAAATGAACATTACCTATTTGAAGTGCAGTAACTACTGCATTTGAGCCAGTGTTGATTTCAAGTGGTTGTAGTTTCTTTTGAATTGCTATCTTAGTCGCATCTGTAGAGCTGTTTATTCTGCAAATATGCTAATTTTGACAGGAAGTATCATATAGTAGCCTAAACTCTAGTCACCTTAGTGATTTCTGGAGCACCTCCTATTCCTCCTATCCCAGGTTACTAACTACCCAATGAGGAGCCTTTTATAATTAATTTATTATTTATCTTTGATAGTTTAGTTTGTATATTTTCTTCTTTTTTCTGTAAGCATTATGCACTCGGTAGTTGGTATTTGCAAGATCCTTTTTATTATTGAAGTGGTTTTTGATTTCGATTGATCCATTTATGCCAAGAGTCAGAAAGGGAAATGTTCACTCCAGGGGAAATGTTGACTTTACTAGTTATAATTTGATGGAAGACGGAGATTCATAATTTGATGTAATTTGTCTGTCCAGGTCATAATTTTTCCCTTATTATGAAGCCACATCTGAATATTTAGGTGAAGAAAGGAAATTTCGTCAAATAATGGCTTCGATGATGTTATTATGTGATATATTCTTTATATTTTAAGAAAAAATGGTTACCAAGATTGAGTGAATAAATGATGAGTTACTGGTATTAGTCGGATCCATAGCTTTTAGGTACAGATCCATTCACCCCTTTATTGGGTCTACCTGACGCGAATCCCGTGTTAGTCGGGCTAGTAGACTTCGGATACCGAATGGTTAAACAAGGAAATAAAGTTGCCTTACAATATACATTGTTTATACATGACTAGCATACAGGTAGATTGTTGTTACACACTAATTCATGATTATACAAGAATACAATTATTGTTGACAAAAGACATGTCATAATATGGTTGTATTTTAACTTATTATTGAACCAATGAACCAAAATCCGATTTCCATCTGGGGAAGAAACAAGACATTTATGTAGGTTCCAGGTAGATAGGTACTTTACCAAGTAGTTCACTTGCTATGTTTTGCTGAAAAAACAAAATGATGTCTGCCCTTCAGAACTGACTACTAACAAACTGGATAGGCAATATAGCTTATTGGGTGCAGATTTTTCCAATTTAAGGTAATATAGCTCTTAAACTTTGGGTCTATTATTTTTGTGCTAGTGATTTTCTTCCGAAAAGCTCTACATGTAATGTTATGAACATATAAGTATGTGATTTAGTAAAATAGAACCTGAGTAGGGCCTCTTCCTTGTTGATAAGTTTGCCTCCACTCTACTGAAATGAGTTAAAATTTCCAATAAACATCTTATCTGTTGCTAATTTAAGAGTTTAGTTATGAGAAGTTGGTAAGTATGATAAATTTGCTGTTGTAATTGATATAAAAGAAAAAGATATTCTTCTTCTCTTATTTTTCTTTTTAATAACTTATCAATCACTGATTGAAAGTAGGACACTGACTTTTGGTGTGTAATGTATTTAGAAAAAAATTAAACTAGCATTGAGCCAAAGCACCGTGGATGAGTCTGAAATTTTTGCCAAATGATGCCGTTGGTAAGATGCTGGAAAAAGAGCACTCTGGAAGGGTAAAGTGCTTGGGATTAGGAGTTGTTCCTGGCAGAGCTTTTAAACAAACAAGACCTCGGTATAGTAATTTGAATGCTTCAAGTTATAATAACGGTTCATGTTCTTCCCAATGCCAAGAGAAGTAAATCAAATATTGAATGCTCACAATCAAAGCCAAGAGAACTACATAGAAATGATGAATGTTAATACCCATGAATGCTTTTAAGGCGTATATGATAATGAAAGAAGGGAGGATACCCGAAGAATTTGCAGGGATCTTTGTTTCTCCTCCTCATTCAACAGTAAGAAAAGTTCATAACTTTCTTATTTAATTTTGAAAGTGTGATTGATCAGTCCAAATGTGACTCTGAATTGAGAAAGAAGAAAACTTTTGTGCTATGTGGTGTTTGACTCTTTTTTTCTCTTTCTTCACTCCTATATCTAGACATGCATTCTCATTTTGTTGGCAGTGTTCTTTTTTTTTCACTTTCAGCTTGTGCTTAGCAGCCGCTCTCTCCAAATATTAAATTTTTGTGAGGTTTTGATTTAAAGTTTTGAGCTTTAGATTCTTGAGCTAGGATAGATATATGGAGCATACAACACACCATATTTTGCATACATATAGCACATGAGAAGGAATGCATGTATATCTACAGTATATAGGAAGGAAGAAATAGCGAAGTAGCATACAAATAAGAATGATTTAGTATATCTAAGTATTTCTGTACCCACATACAACATTATATTAGTATTATACTCCATATTAGAGCTAGAAGCTCATATATTTTTCTTAGATAATTCTAACACCTAAATTCCTCTGTGCAAATTCAGTAAGGTTTCTGAATTCCTTCTCATGAATAAATTCATCGCCATTAGCGTCTGCAATTTTTATACCGTGGATGCTTTTTAGCCTGCTGAACCAGCTGCTATTGGCTCGGATAGCGTCTCGGAGTTCTTCTTTGCTTATCTTCCCATCTCTGTCTATGTCAAATCTCTTTAGCCATTTCCTGAACTCCTGCAAACTCATTTCAAGTTTTAATTTAATTTGGGCCAGTAGAAAATTAATGAATTATGGGATATTAGAAGAAGCTAAGAGAGTTTGATAAAGAGTGAATGATGGCTTTGGTCATTAATGTACTATGTATTCGGATCATAGAAGTTACTGATATTTGACTGAAGCTAAATGATTATTAATTATGATATTGTTGAGGTACTTTTCGTTAATTATATTTTATTTTATTTTTTTTAGCCAAGTGATGTGGCTAGCAGATCCATTTCACCCATGGATGTAAGAAGATCGTCTGGTGGAAATAATGCTAACGACAATCATTGAAGTTGCTTGCAAATGTATCGTACTCGATTGAATGGTCATGGTAGATCTTTTGTCCATTATAGTTGTAGTAGATGTTCTATTTAAAGTTAGTTTTAAGACTAACTATAATACTGATGTTTTGTGTTTAAATTAAGTTTTTGAGACTAATGATAATTTACTTTAATGTATTTTATGGTTTATTAATATATTGATGTTATTTGATTCTAGCAAGTAATTTATATAATATTATAATATTTCATTATATTAGCATAATTGAAATCGGATCAGTTATGGGTATAACAATTGCCAAAAAAAAAATCAATGAATAGCGGAGGTTATAACTGCCGCAATTTAATGTATAATAATATTGTGTTAAAACTTGCGGGGGTTAAATAAACATATTGTAGGGGTTTTGAATGCCGCTAATATTTTTATACATGTGTTCTTACAAAGTCAAATTATCGAATTGCGGAGGTTAGACCGACGCTAAATATCCGACGCTAAAGACCGACGCTAGAATGACGGTCTCCCAAAAAACCCCCGTAAATTGATTGCGGCGAATATTATTATGGGGTTTTTGAAAACCTCCGTAACAGAATATTACGGAGGTTTCTGACCGCCGCAATATATAAATAAAACCTCCGCAAATTTAGCATTTTTTGTAGTGATATATAAAGCGAGGAAGAGGAACTAGTTGCTAGTTGTTGTTTATCCTAAACTTGTGATATATATGAACAAGCCCTCAACCTTTTATGGTAACAGAAAGTTGAGGACAATTATATATTGTAAACTGACAAGTAATACATTTTCTCCAATATAAGAAGTGCGGTAGAAGTAGGTGAAGCAGGGAGGTCTTCATTGATGTAACAACATGACCGGTCATTTTGAGTTCTAGCATGTCGTTCGGCGGTTTGAGACCTTGAGTAGCTGCACTTCATAATTTATGACTTGTACGTATGGTCAAAGTTGAATTTCGGCAAGTTCGGAGTTGATTCAAAAGGAAAATTCTCAAGTCGGAAGTTTTAAGTTGAAAGAGTTGACCAAGGTTTGACTTCTGAGTAAACGATCTTGGAGTCGCGATTTGAAGGTTCTAATCGATTTGTATGATGATTTTGGATTTTCGCGTATGTTCGGGTTGAGTATCGGATAATCCGAGAGCGTTTTGATGCTAGATGTGAAAAGTTGGCATTTTGAAGGTTTTAGAATTTCTTAAGTTTGAGTTGAAGTGGACTTTGGTGTTATCGACATCCGTTTAGGATTTCAAGACTGGGAATAAGTTCGTATCGTGATTTGTGATTTGTACGTAAATGCCACGCCCCCAAATTGGGGTGGGACGTGATTGACACTCAACCCTTACCATTCGTTGAGTTTACCTTATATTATTTATATCAAACTTCAAGTTCAATAGAAAAGAAACTAACATGCTTAAATGTTAATTCTTATCAAATTGCAGTTCTTAAGTTGACTGATAAAATATACTAATAAATAAAGGATAAATCTCAAAATATTTTAATACTGACCCACTAACGAGTCATGAGCCTCTAGAATCTGAAAAATAATATTTAAAATACACAGCCTACGGGGGCATCCCCCGAAAATAAAATAAACGTAAAAAAAAGTTATAAATAATAGTCTGAAAAGGGTCTGCTACCGCTGGGATGAATAAACGGAGTCTGTAAACTGAATCTAGAATATCTTCTCTAGCCACGTGCCTCGTTACCTGCGTTCTCAATACCTGCCACACGATTTAGCAGGTCCAAACGGGCTAAGTACCACCAAAAGATACCCAGTAAGTCTCATAAGCTACCTCCTAAAAAGGTGGAGCGAGACCTTCTGGAAAATATAAAAAAGAAAAGAGATATACTGAAAATCATATAAATCATATAAAATTTTACAACTAAGTAATAATCTAGAAACTGAAACTGCAAGCTAAACTATAAGTTAAAACTGAAACTTAACGTAGAAATTGAGCCCATAACTGATATCTAAAATAGAAACTGAGTTATATATATATATATTAAGATATAATTTTACAAAGTTAATTGTTACTCATAATGGCCTTACGTACGTGAGCATTTGGGAACACGTACGGATGAGTCTCGGCATGTCTCCCCTACAAACAGTTAGCACCTACGAGCATGGGGTAGGTAACTCTGACATTTTGGCACTCACACTGGGGGAGGTTGGCCACTTCTCCCTACTGAATGTGAATATCACAATTAAAGGCACTTACACATAAGCATGTATTCATGTCACATATAATGTCGTACTGAATAAGAATAAGTGAACTGAGCATTGGAGCACGAGAAGACATTACTTAGCTTTAGCCAACATATGAAGCACAAGGGTTATAATGGAATTCCCTATAAGGAAAGTAAACCTCAACTCACCTTAAAACTTTAGCTGCAATTCGTCTCTTCAAGTTTTTTGAGTATTCGACAACGCGAAATGTACAATAATAGGCTTAACCATGTTAATTCATAAGCTATTAAGTCTTACTTATTGTTATTTAGCTATAAATCTAGAAATTCTCACCTCACTGATTCAAGTAAAGTTTTCAACTAAATATTTTTATTTTTCCACAAAGGTATATAGATGACGAGGCCATGAATTCAAGTAAATTGATTTTACAAAAAGATAAAGTGACCTCATTATAAATCCTTGGTTCTAGACCCATAACATCAATTATGTATTCTAATATTAAATACTATATATGAAAGAATCTCTCACTTAACTTTGGCACTAACTAAAAGATAAACTTTTATCATATGGGCATTCAAAGAAATCTTCTTTACCATGACTAGAAAATATGAACCTCAAAAGCTGTATCAATTTATTTCAATGAATACTTAAACCTACGTATAAAAATAATTTCATAGAATGAGAACTTAAGGGTTTTGATTAAATTTTCACCTAGCGATAATAATCATAGGAAATTTGGAAGAATTGAATACCTTGGTTTCGAGAATGGCAAATTACAAAACCTTGACTTTTTTTTATGGCTTTCTACGTTCTTTGCCTAACTCCTAAAGCAATTAAATTACTTTGGTTTTCTTGCTAAAATCTCATTTTTTTCTATTTACTTTTTCAGACAAAGACCTTTACCAACCCTTCTCACGGAAAAAAAAACTTTTACCCTTCTAATTCCTTTAGGCTTTGGTCCCACTAAGTCTCTTTTTCTTTTTCTCTTTTTGCTTTTTAATCATTGTAGTTGCTACTTGCTATTATTAAGCAATATGTATTTAAAAGCTAGCGAAATGGGGCATTACATTCTCTCCCCCTAAGAAATATTCGTCCTCAAATGTCATATCACAGTTATTCTTGAGTATAAAGAAAGATCTTAGGCCTTATGCCACTCTCACTATCGCTTAGGACCTTAAAATTTGGCTAACTCCTAAAATTTTCAAACATTTCGGCTGAGTTTCCTTTTTAACTGGAGTTATCCCAAAAGTTTCAATCCTGTCAAAACCAATCGAACAATAACACTTTGCACCTTCAGCTACTCAATCCAATAATATACAACATCAAGGCATACACATATACCCGCCAAAGCCATTTTACATCATTATAAGTACAAATATCACATAACTTGACAATCTAAATATTTTAAAGCTTAAATTGAATTATGTACCTGAAATCTCGAACAAATAAGAATACTTTTTCTTCATGACATCCTCGGGCTCCCACGTAGCTTCCTCAGCTGAGTGGTTGCTCCATATTACTTTCACCGAAGAAACGTCTTTGGTTCGAAGTCTACGAACCTGCCTGTCTACTATTGCTACAGGGACCTCCTCATATGTCAGAGTATCATCTACCTCTATCTCCTATCTATCAAGTACATGACTCGGGTCATGAAAGTACTATCTCAGCATGGACACATGAAAAAATGGATGCACAGAAGATAACTCTGGAGGTAATTCTAGTCGATACGCCATAAGCCCAATCCTTTCAAGAATTGGATAAGTCCCTCTATATCTTGGGCTAAGCTTCCCTTTTCTACCAAACCTCATGATACCCTTCATTGGATACACCTTTAAAAATACATAGTCACCCTTTTTGAACTCAAGATCACGGCATCTTATATCAGAGTATGACTTTTGTCGGCTTTGAGCTGTTATAAGTCGTTCCTGAATAAGTCTCACCTTTTTCAAGGCATCTTTTACTGTGTTTGGCCCAGTAAGCTTTGTTTCACCTATCTCAAACTACCCTACAGGCGAACAACATCGTCTCCCATATAGGGCCTCGAATGAGGCCATCTGAATGCTTGCTTGATAACTGTTATTATATGCAAACTCAATTAAAGGTAGATGATCATCCCGGTTTCCTTTAAAATCAAGAACACAGGCTTGTAACATATCTTCCAAAGTCTGAATTGTCCTCTCATCCTGTCCGTCCGTTTGAGGGTGAAAAGTTATACTCAGATTAACTCGGGTATCGAGACCTTTCTGAAAACTCTGCTAGAACTGGGCAGTAAACTGTGCACCCCTATCAAAAATAATAGACATGGGAGAACCATGCAACCGAACAATCTTCTTTATGTATAATGATGCATATTGGGGCGCCATGTAGGTTTTTTTGACTGGCAAAAGGTGAGATTACTTAGTGAGTTGGTTTACTATGACCCAAATGGAGTCATGTTTCTTAAAAGTTTGTGGCAAGCCAACCATAAAATCCATATTTATTCGTTCCTATTTCCATTCTGATATTTCAATGACTTGAGCTAAGCCACCTGGCCTCTAGTGTTTAGCTTTTACTTGCTGATAGCTAAGGCACCGTGATACATAATTTGCAATATCTCACTTCATAATATTCCACAAATAAACACCCCTCAAATCATGATACATTTTTGTTGAATTTGGATGTATTGAATATCTGGAGCTATGAGATTCTACCATAATTGCCCATCAAAGATCTTCTACATTAGGCATGCATAAACGGCCATCAAGTCTCATCACACCATTCTCATCAAGTGCAAAATTCTTAATCTTGCCACTGAGGACACCTTCCTCGAGCTTAAGCAAGCTAGGGTCATCAAATTGTTTGGCTTTAACTTGCTCTACTAAAGTAGAGTTAGCACCCATACTTGCTATCAACCTTCCATCATACTTCTCATCGAGACGAACCCCTTGGCTAGCTATTTGTTAGGTTTCCTTAACTATTGGATGTCCGACCACACAACTTGGTCAAACTCCCCATGGATCTGCTACTCAAAGAATCAGCAACCACATTCGCTTTACCTGGATGGTAAAGAATATTACAATCATAATCTTTAAGCAACTCCAACCACCTACGTTGTCTCAGATTCAACTCTTTCTGCTTGAATATATACTACAAACTTTTGTGATCTGTATAAATGTCACATTGCTCTCCATAAAGGTAATGACGCTATATTTTTAGAAAAATAATAACTGCTGCTAGCTTAAGATCGTGGGTAGGATAATTTCTCTCATGATTCTTTAACTTCCTAGAAGCATAAGCAATTACCTTATCATTCTGCATAAGAACACCTCCTAATCCTACTCTGGAAGCATCACAATAGATCATAAATTTACCTGTAAGGGTAGGCAAAGTCAGGATTGGGGTTGTAGTCAACCTGTTCTTGAGTTCTTGAAAACTTTTCTCACAAGCTTCAGACCATTGGATCTTTACATTTTTCTGAGTTAATTTTGTCAACGTGGCAGCTACTGAAGGGAACTCTTATACAAAACGACAGTAGTAACCTGCCAATTCTAGAAAAATGCGAATCTCTGTAGGGGTCGTCTTCCTAGGCCAATTCCTAATTGCTTCTATTTACTATGGGTCTACTCTACTGCCTTCTTTCAAAACCACGTGTCCCAAAAAATGTAACTGTATCGAGCCAAAAGTCACATTTGGAAAAGTTGGCATACAACTGAGGTCCTTAAGTATTTGAAGAAGTGTTCTCAAGTTATTCTCATGCTCTTTCTGGCTACAAGAATATACCAAAATATCATCAATAAATACTATGACAAAGTTATCATAGAAAGGCTTGAATACTCTGTTCATTAAGTTCATAAAAGCTACTGGTGCATTGGTCAACCCAAAGGACATCACTAAAAATTCATAGTGACTGTACCGAGTCCTGAAAGCTATTTTCGGGATGTGTGCTTCTCTGATTTTTAACTGATAGTATCCCGATCTCATATCTATTTTTGAGAAATACCTGGCACCCTACATCTATCCTGGGCAGTAGATATTTATTTTTGATAGTAACCTTATTCAGCTGGCGGTAATCTATACACATCCATAGGGAACCATATTTTTTCTTCACGAACACACTGGAGCATCCCAAGGTGAAATACTAGGTCGAATAAAATCCTTATCTAAGAGGGCTTGTAACTGCTTCTTGAGTTCATTTATCTCGGATGGAGCCATTCTGTTAGGAGGAATCGAGATTGGTTGAGTTCCTGGCAATGTGTCTATGCCAAACTCAATCTCCCTATCTAGTGGTATCCCTGGGAGATCATCCGGGAACACGTCGAAAAACTCTTTCACAATCGGTACAGATTCAAGCACTGGGGAGCCAACTTTTATATCCCGCACATGTGCTAGATACGCCAAACACCCGCTGCTCACTATTTTTCTAGCCTTAAGGTAAGAAATAAACTTACCCACAGGTGTACCCACTTCACCTCTAATTATAATTGGATCTTACCCAATAAATGAGAATTTAACGATCTTCGCGTGGCAGTCAACTGTAGCATGACAAGAAGATAACCAGTCCATGCCAGCTATGATGTCAAACTCTACCATATCTAACAAGTTCAACTTTAACAGATTCCCCTATAGGTGTGGAAACCTCAAACGGAACCCCTAATTTTTTTTGGTGTTTTTCCAAACTTGACACAAAAATAAGGAGACACATAGGAGAAAGTTGAACCAGGATCAATTAATACATAAGCAAGGCGATCACAAACTAAGAGAATACCTGTAATAACTTTATTAGACGCCTCAGCATTCTGCCTATCTAGAACTATATAGAATATGGCTGGTCTGCCTCCTCCCAGAGCTCCACCTCTATTGGCACCACGCCCAGTCTGAGTATTAGATGCCCGAACTGGAGGAGGTGCAACTATAAAATTACCCATGGATGTTGCATGTCTGGTTGGAGTTGTCCCCGGAGGTTGTCCAAGTAGTGGACATTCTCTCTTAATATGACCCGGATCGTGGCAGTGGAAACAACCTTTCTGACCCAAAAGGCATTTCCCTAGATATCTTTTATTGTTGCACGGAGGACATATAGGATAGGAGAATCGAGGTTGGCCCTGACTAGTTGAACTTTGCCCCTGAGGGGCCTAACCCTTACTCTACTGGCTATGTATGGGTGGAGCTGGATAAGGAGATGAGTGAGCCATTAATTGAATGTGAGCTAAATGATTGATGTTCTTACCCTCAACTGAAAATCTATTATAAATACATGTTGTTCTAGCCTTCTTGCTGTTATCTCTAGCTTCCCTGGCGATTTTATCAAAAGCTTCCTTACGCGTGGCGATATTGACAACCTGAAGATAAGTCTTGTCATCCTGATGTGAAGTCATATCTTTTGCCATATGTGGATTCAAGCCTTCAATGGACCTTCTCACTTTTTCTCTCTCTATCGGTATCAAATTAGGTGCATACTCTGCCAATTTTATATATTCCATCTCATATTCAGTCACTGATATGGTACCCTATTTAAGATGTTCAAACTGACGTCGGAGCTCATCCATCCGACTCCATGTAAAAATTTAGCTCTGAAAGCTTCTTTGAACTAGGGCCAAGTAAGTGGCAGTAATGTAGAATCTTTGGCCTTCTTGTAACCTCTCCACCATTGTGCTACTGCACCCTTCAATCAAAACTCAATCAACTCTATGGCTTGTGTTAAGATAACCAAAAGAAACAAGCATTTCCTCTATCTCTTCCAAAAATAACATTGGTTCATTTTCTTTATCGATACCATTATAAGTAGGAAGGTTTAATTTCAGAAAGGCATGTGGATCAAATTTTCTTGTTGGTAACTGCACTCTCTGGATAATATTTGCAGGGACAACTGGTGGTGGTACCTCGAGTGGAGCTTGAAAATAATCTCCTATAACCTCTTTATCTGAATCATGTGGGTCCCGAGGAGGAGCGTGAACAGGTGCAGCCCGACCACCAGTTGGAGGGGCTAGGGACTCCAAAAAGTCCAAAATTCTATCAATTCGATTATCCTGCTGATGTGGTGGTACCCGATCATTAACAACCTGTTGAGGTAGAGCTTGTGCTTGTCTTGTGGCCCTACCACGAGCCTTATTACCTCTGGCATTTCCACCTCTAAACCTAGCATTTTGACCTATACCTCTACCTCTGCCACATCCTCTAACTACAGTTGTTGCTATTAGTGCGGCTTGCACCTCTGGTGCTGCTTCTTGATGATTAGTAACTGGTATCTCAACATTGTTAGCAACAGATGATGAAGTTGATTGTTCTAACCATCTTGTTAGTGATGAAATGAGAGATAAATGGGTGTTAGAATTCAGAAACATTTAGCTCTAACGCACGATATAAGAATCAAAGGAGAGAAAGAAAAAAATAATTCCTAACATGTCCTGCAGCCTCCCAAATATAAGTATGGTGCACAACATATGCATATTTGAGACTCTGCTAGACACGACTCATGACTCCTAGAACTCCGTAAATCTGGCTGCTCTGATACCAACTTGTCACTCCCCCAAACTACGGTGGGACGTGATTGGCACTCAACCCTTACCACTCGTTGAGTGAACCCTATACTATTTGTATCAAACTTCAAGTTCAATAGTAAAGAAACTAACATGCTTAAATATTAATTCTAATCAAATAACAGTTCTTAAGCAGACTGATAAAATATAATAAATAAAGTATAAATCTCAAAATATTTTAATACTGACCCACTAACAAGTAATGAGCCTCTAGAATCTAAAAAATAATATTTAAAATACATTGCCTGCGGGGGCATCCCCCGAAAATAAAATAAACGCAAAAAATTAGTTATAAATAATAGTTTGAAAAGGGTCCGCTACCTATGGGATGAATCAACGGAATCTGTAAACTGAATCTAGAATATCTCCTCTAGCCACGTGCCTCGTTACCTGCATCCTCAATACCTGCCATACGGCGTAGCAGGCCCAAACGGGCTAAGTATCACCAAAGGATACCCAATAAGTCTCATAGGCTACCTCCTAAAAAGGTGTAGCGAGACCTTCTAGAAAATATAAGAAAGAAAAGGGATTTATGGAAAATCATATAAAAGTTTACAACCAAGTAATAATCTGGAAACTGAAACTGTAAGCTAGAATGTAAGCTAAAACTGAAACTTAACGTAGAAATTGAGCCCATAACTGATATCTGAAATAGAAACTGAGTTATATATATTTTAAGATATAATTTTTCAAAGTTAATTGTTATGCATAATGGCGCTGCGTACGTGAGCATCTGGGAACACGTACGGGGGAGTGTTGGCCTATCTCCCCAACAAATAGTTGGCACCTGCGAGCATGGGGAGGGTAACCCTGAAATCATGGCACTCACGCTGGGGGAGGGTGGCCCCTTCTCCCTACTGAATGTGAATATCACAATTACAGGCATATAACAATTGGTAATATACATAAGCATGTATTCATGTCACATATAATGTCGTACTGAATAAGAATAAGTGAACTGAGCATTGGATCACGAGAAGACATGACTTAGCTTTAGCTAACATATGGAGCACAAGGGTTATAATGGAATTCCCTACTAGGAAAGTAAACCTCAACTCACCTTAAAACTTTAGTTGCAATTCGTCTTTTCAAGTTTTTCGAGTATTCGACAACGCGAAATCTACAATAATAGGCTTAATCATGTCAATTCATAAGCTATTAATTCTTACTTGTTGTTACTTAGCTTTAAATCTAGAAACTCTCACCTCACTGATTCAAGTAATGTTTTCAACTAAATATTTTCATTCTTCCACAAAGGTATATAGATGGAGAGGCCATGAATTCAAGTAAACTGATTTTACAAAAAGATAAAGTGACTTCATTATAAATCCTTAGTTCTAGACCCAATAACATCAATTATGTAT